CCCCAAAACCCCAAAACCCCAAGAGAGTTTTTAAGAGTTGGATGTGAAATTTGCGCAGTTTGAGAGTCTAATTTGCACATAATAGATTCAGATTACTCTATATATGTCCTAGCATTAATTTATATTAAAATAATTAAAGATAGAATTACAAAAGAATACAAACTTCAAAATCAAGAGAACTATCATTAAATATGGATTTGGCTTCTGTAGCTTCAAGTTAAACGGGACGAAGGAATTCCCGCAACATAGAGTAATTTGCTCAGCACTAGAAACACAGTGAATACGTGGTGGTCCTGAGTTAATTAGACCACGAAAACGATTTTTTATCTTTGAAGTCTGCTTCGAATATCATTTTGCAATTTGAACTGATTTTGAAGCGGTGCTTCTTTGAGATTAACCATGTGCTTTTGGGTCATCAGGCTATATTACCGATCATTTATCATGCGATTCTGCTATTTGAATTCATCCAGCTTTTGTTCTTCATATTTTATAAGGTGGAGGTAGTTAACGAATTCACCTACTCTAGTTATTATCATGATTTGGAGGGAGTATCAAATCAGACCAATAGCTCTACAACTATTGATGCTGATGCTAAGTTCAGTACCTTCAGAATTGATTATTACTTTGCTTTTACCAACTTTCATATGTATATTCTTCAATAGCAGTCCAAGGATGCTTTCATGATGTTTCATATCGTAATTACAGTCAGCTTTTTGCTTTATGTGATTTCAATTATAACGCTTTCGAAGCAGATATTTAAAGACGAGAGAAATGACTCACTTAAAGAGGGAATGAAATATCTTGTAAAATTCTTCTCAATCCTAATGACTGTATTTCTGTTTATACTTTAGATTCCTATGATCACTATCTATCTTCAGGGTTATCTATGTGAAGAAGATGAGAGTTAACCTTATACTCTGATTGGGCTTAAATGCTATAGTCTGAATCATTAATTATACATAGCATTTTCAACTATTTCCCTCTGCCTATACATTCTCTTCCTCATTATCTAATCATTACTTTTCACTTCAAACAGCTTTGAGTCTTCTCTGCCTTGGGGCTCATTGGAAAGACGATTGTCAATTATGAGAGTGCTGGTAAAGTTCATCTTAGCCTGTTGCTTTGTTTGGGATAAACAGGGTAAGATTCGAGGACCTGTAAATTTGGTTTGTTTTATTCTATGCTCATTCCTCGTCTATCACAGATACATGAAAGCTATAGTTTTTAAACAATCAGTATACTATGCAATGATGATTTATGAAGTGCAGCAGATGTGGTTGTTCCTGTGCATATCAGTCCATATATTAGGAGACTAAAAGCTGAATATAGTGGGTTTCGGGCTACTAATGATTTCTGGCTTTATTTTCGGAATGATCTTTATCATTTTGACAAAGAGGAGGACTGAACTAATGCTTAGAAAGGATATCTCTTAATTCAAGCATGTTTATGAGATTGAAATTTATCTTTTCAGAATTTATGAATTGATCAGGAATAATACCACAAATGATCATTTCATTTTGCATGGAATACTTTGTAACCACATGTAAAGCTGTACCAATGAAAAATGTCCCTGTATTAACATTATGGAAATCTAGGATAATGTAAAGGTTAATTAAGCAGATGGCCGAGAACCTATTATGTAGCAATTTGACAATGATATCAATGATGCCAACTTAGACAAGATAGCAAATTAAGGCCAACGAAGAAAATTGAATGACCAATCGACGAAAAGTTTTAATACCATGGGAGGTTCAGGAAGAGTAATCGGAACTTAAAATAGATTGACTATCAATGGTATTAGCATGAATGCAAGGACTCGAAGGAATATTAAGGTGCAAAGTCAAGGAGCCTGGAACGATAAAAAGCCCTAGGAAAAAGCACTATCAGAGAGAAAGAAGAAAAAGCAAGAGATCTAGTGGTACAGGTTCCTAGGGATTCTAATAGAGTATGCAATTGAGAAGTTTCCCAAGAATCTGGAGCTTAAAATTATCAATGCTCTGATCCAGAACAAGAAAATCAAGAATGAATTCAAGGCAATATTTGAGCTAATGAACTGTGAGCTGTGCAATCCTAACTTCTAAGATCAGTTTGTTATTTTTAGAAGGAAAATTCAGATAGAGCTGCTTCTAAAGAAGAATCACTAGAAAAATATCTTGGAAATTGGAAGAATTGACATTGTGCAGATATTTAAATATGAAAAATACTTTCAGCAATACTCTCTACTTGAGTATAAGACTGCCTATGCTGCTTTATTGTTTTGGCGAGAACTACTGTAAAAGAATGTAGACTCTAATGTCTTATAGGAGAGAGGAGCTGAGATATCTGAAAACTATTAGAAAATTTAAGAATTAGCCAACAAGTTGATTTAGATATATCCTTTAGAGATAAAGTTTTACTTCAGATATGGCACATTTCTATATCAAATTATCAATAATGCGTATGATGCCTTAACCTATTTTGAGAAAATTTACTACACTTATCATGGAAAGATGAGTAAAAAAGCTATACCAGTTAATGAAATGTCAATATTTGGAGAAAATTCCAATTGTGCAATAATTATGATCAGTGCTACTTCAAGGAAAACAGGCAATATAATACATGTTAACGATGAAGTCGAGACTATACTAGGCTACAAAAAATAAGAACTAATGCATAAAAATGTAAGCATAATGATGCCCAAGCCAATTGCAAAAATTCATGATAAGTTTATTGATAGATATTTTGATACAGCCTAGCCCACAGTCATTGATATTAAAAGACAGCTATTTGGATGCACTAATACTGGATATTTAAGAACAATAAGACTTTTAGTTAAGGTTTATCCTCATTTATCTAGTAGATTAGTCTTTGTGGGTTTTATCTAGCATATGGATAAATTTGAGGACATGGCTTAGCCCAAATTAGAATATCAACATGCTGATTTTCAATACTTAATAACTGATACAGATCAGAATATAACAAATGTGACAGAGGGGCTTAATCTTGAACTTGGGCTGAATTCTAAATTCTTTTAATATTCTGACTCTATTTTCGAAATACTTTTTAACTTTCAAAAGATATGTCCAGAAATCACATAAGAAGAAGTATAAGAGGCTCTTGAAGAAGAGGGACTTATTCTTACTATTGATACAAAAAACATGCTAAATCATATAGAACTAGAGTCGTTATCATCAGATGAAATCTTGGAAATTAGGTCTAAACTAGGGAGATATGAATGCTATGTATAAATGAAGTCTTTAGTTTTAGATAAATCATTTTGCACAGTCCACATCTATAGGATATGCATTCTGAACAAAGTGAATGAATCTTAAATATTTAGCAGTTTTGTGAAAGCAATGGTCAGCAGATTAGATGAGGATCCAACTGATTTTGGCTAGATTTCAGTGATGCAGGGCACTGCTTCCGCTGAATTAGAAGAGTTAATAAATTAACCCTCTTAATTATCACTTAGCAGCACAACTTCAGGAACTTACGGGTTTAATAAAATTATCAAGGATTTCAAAAAGGCATTGGGTGAGAGAAAAACACCGAGAAATCTGATATACTTAAATCGATTGATGGTCCTCTTCTTGACTCTCAATATGATACTAAGTGGAGTCGACTTTGGATTGAAGCAAAGCAACATTGAAAACTATGATTGCAATAATCAATAAGTTCTAGCGATTCAAAATCGTATTTTAGCCTATATACACATGGTCTCTAATTTCAGGTCATTGATAAATATTGCCAATGGAGTTGAATTCGATTACTATGATATAAGACTTACTAATTCGGCAAATGACTGGCTTATGACATCTAATCAGACTCTGGATAGGTTTAAATATTTATAGAGAACAATCCTTCATAACTCTGAAAAGCTGCAGACAATACATGAGTTTATAACCCAGTAGAGATTTTCTAAGGACTCATAGTTAGACATATCGAATTTGATTAGGGAAAAGGAGAATGAGCAGATATAACTTAATAGAATACAAAATAGCATGAATATCAGTTAATATAAGCTAGAGTTCAGAGTAGCATTCAATTTATATCTGAACTATATACAGGACATCATTGAAATCAATAACAAGACAGGGATGAAAATACCTACTGAACTACTTAAAGCATTGCCTAAAAATTCCCCTAACATGAATAAAACAAACATAAGCATCAATGACGAGTAAAAAATAATCTACTTCTTATTGTCGAATGGGTTCAGAGACTTAAGATTGTTTACCTACGACTTGGTATAATACTACTAGAACCATACAAATACAGATCAAAGTGGAAAGCAGTCCATGTCTATAATGGTGGTTGGCATTATAACTTCTCTAGTTTGTACTTTCATACTCATCTACTAGGTAGTCATAATAGAGAGAAATAAAGTCAGCATACTTTCCCTCTATGGTCTACTTTAGATAGATGAGATTACAGAAGTTCATGGAAAATGCGATGAATTCTTAGAATATCTTCCATATAGCCATATCAAGCCAAAAAATAATGAGAATAATCAATCAATAATGATAAGTTAGCAAATTCCCAACAGTTTTACAAAAACTGGAAATTACAATGCATCAACCACTTTTAATGCAACTTAAGGTTTTATTAATGGTAGAGTAGAATCATAAATATCAGAGGAGGAAAAGGAAGCAGAAGTCTATAGGTAGTTTATAATGAAAAAAAGAAATACTAAAAAATTCAAAGCATAGTCTCGAGTTAATTAACTTCTTAAAGAATAAACACCCACTGAAGAAAAGTAAAAAGCAATAATAAGAAAGACCTTAGAATAAGTAAAAGAAATTTAAGATGCGGAGCAGTTACAATATGAATTGCTGAGAAAAAAAAGACAGAAAGATATGAGAAACAGAGGAAAAGTAGTGAAGAAATCGAGTCGAAAATCTTTATCCACTCTTAATGCTAAAGGTGATTAACCCAAAGCACAAGATAAAAACCATAATTTAAGTGCAACTAAGCAAAGAGTAGACTTTAAAGTACCCAAAAAAAGAGATATCATCGTAGATGATACAGATTCAAATGAAGGAGCAGATAAAGTTAACAATAATGATATTAATTTAGAGATGAAAGATTCCAACAAATTCACTGCAGATGAGTTGCAGGAGAGAACGAAATCCTTCCAAAAGTAGATCAAGAATGTTGGTTATTTTAAGTAACTTAGAAGATTGGGCTTTGGCTTGACATTTATCGCCTACTTTATCTACATCTAAACATTCTAAGTTTACTACTAAAAGTAACTATCAACAATGATTTCTTCAGTTTCCATATTTTTCAATCGCTACTCTAATCTAATGCTATCATTCAATATTCAAAGAGAGCAAATGCTTAATATGCAGCTAAGTCCTACTCAGAACTTATCAACTATCGACAGTTTACTTGCATTTGAGAAATCAAGAATTGAAGATATCTTCCATAGCTTAGCAATGAATGACTAGAATAAGGTTAATGATCTCAAGGTTTCATATCCTAATGTGCTTGAATAAATTGTATCATTAATAAAGGATACTGACTCAACAGAATTTTGCAATTAAACAAAGGCATATGCCTTGAGTGAAGGATACACTATTGATGATTTATATCAAGCTAGATTAGAAATTAATGGCTATTGTGCAGCATTTTAAGAGGGATTATTGTCTAAAGGTATACAGTAAGTCATTGGAACTTTTAACAAAAAGTTTACAGATCAATAGATATTGCTAGAGTAGTATTCAAATTCTCAGACCTCGTCCAAAGTTATTTCAGATTATCTAAAAGCAATACTTAAGGGGCAAACAAGTCAGAATGATTAGGTATTCAAGCAGTATTTTTAAGTTTAAGAGTTGTATTTTTATGACATCATTGAGGAAATGACGAAAATTTGGCAAACTGCATTTTAAACACAAAAGAGTTCTATAGTAACTATAACACAGGTAGTTTTCTTTATATTCTTGACCTTGCTTTTGATCTTGTTATTCTTTGTTAGAGGAACTATGATTTAATCCATGAAAAATAAGGTCTTTCTTTCAAGGGGTATTTTGAATTTGATACCAGAAAATTTCTTCGATAAAAACAAGGAGAGTGTCGAAAAACTTATTAAAAAGCTTAAGAATTGATAATACATTATTAAAAAAATGCTTTTGTATTTCTTTTAATTTTTATGATTTTTAAGTTGATTTTTATAGACTTAGGGGTTTTGGGGTTTTGGGGTTTTGGGG